AAGGAGAATTGATGCCTTTGAGCTGTGGTGCTGGAGAAGAGTATTGAATATACCATGGACTGCTAAGAAAATGAACAGGTTTGTCCTGGAGAGGGTGAAGCCAGGCAAAGATTCTGAAGCTTCTTTTGACATATTTTGGACATGTTGCAGGGAGGGACCAGTTCTTAGAGAGGGCTGTCATACTTGGGAGGATGGAGGGACAGGGCAGGAGAGGAAGGCCCTCGATGAGATGGATTGATTCAGTGACTGCGGTAATGGGGGTAGGTGTGTCAGAGATGGTAAGATTGTTACAGGATAGGACAGAGTTTAGGGCTGTTGTACATAGGGTTGCTATGAGTCGCAGGCAACTCAACTGGCACACAACAACAACAATGTACGTATTGGAAGCAGGAGTGGCATCCACTTCCTAAACAACATGCCTCTGGAAACTCAATGAACTTTGATAAATGATGATAGTTATAGAAAGGTTTCAGGCCTTTTGTTCATAGGGTCACTATGGGTCATGCTCGACTCAAAGGCAATCAACAACAATGTAAGTACAGATGGATATACCTGGAATATAGGAGATTCCTTACACAATTTCTTTGTACTGCCATGCCCTGTGATTAAAATTAATGCGAAATTACAGCAACTTGATTCTGACATGACTACTTACAGCTCAAACTCTTCAGGAATGAAAATTTGTGTCATCCTACCTGACAAAGAAGCATGGCCGCCTGAAGTACTCATTGAGAGCAAATGAAATACCAAATGGGTCATGAAAGAAGGTAGCTCAAAATACCAATTTACAACCATGTAATCAATGACAGAAATGAGGACTGTAATTGTTCAAAGTATTTCTGCCTTGTATATGTTTATGAAATATTTTGCATCTTTTACTTACAAAATATAATTTGGGCTAGTGCATTTCTGGGTGTAAGCATGTTAGGTTCATGTAAGATTTTATGATTATTAAAGATTCTATACTGCAGCCTTCAGTATGGACTGAGGCTCAATGTTCAGAAGACAAAGATTCTCACCACTGGATTAACTGGCAGCATCAGGATGGATGGTGAAGAGATTGAGATTGTTCACAGCTTTAGTTTGCTTGGCTCCACAGTCAACACTCTTGGCACCAGTAACCAGGAAATTAAAAGGCGCATTGCCATGGGAAAGTCTGCTGTTAGGGACCTCTCCAAAGTACTAAAGAGCAATGGTGTCTCTCTGGAGACTAAGGTGCATCTGATACAGGCCATGGTCTTTGCGATCACTTGTTATGCATCAGAGAGTTGAACAATGACCAAGGAGGATAGAAGGAGAATTGACACCTTTGAGCTGTAGTGCTGGAGAAGAGTATTGAATATACCATGGACTGCCAAGAAAACAAACAGATTCATCCTAGAAAGGGTTAAACCGGGCTGCTCCTTGGAGGCAAGGGTTCTGGGGCTTCATCTGACATATTTTGGACATGTTGTAAGGAGAGACAGGTCCTTGGAGAGGGACATCATGCTTGGGAGGGTGGAGGGACGGCGCAAGAGGGGAAGGCCGTCTATGAGGTGGATTGATGCAGTGACTCAGGTAATTGGGATGGGTGTGTCAGAGGCAGTGCGATTGGTACAGGATAGAGCAGGGTTTAGGGCTGTTGTACATAGGGTTGCCATGAGTCGCAAGGGACTCGACGGCACATAACAACAACAACATTTAAGAAGATGCGTGTATGAATGAATGGAAATCCAAAATCTCTGTAAATATTCATTAAAATTAATAAAAAATTCTATTTGAAAAAAAAAGAAGATGCGTGTACAAGTGCCCTCTTGACAAGGGGTGAACTATGATACTTGAGGTTGTGTATCAACTTGGCTACCTATGACTCTCTAGTTTGTCAGTTGTAATATGGTCATTTCCTTGGTGGGATTTGCTATTAGCAGTCAACTGTTTGAAGGGCGTTTCCATAAGGATATGACCTGAGTGAAGTATGGGAAGAAGCCTCAGAGTTGACCTGCTTTTTGCTTGATCTTAACCTTGAAAATGACAAATCATTTCATTGTTTCCTGTCTTCCCTGACTCACCTGGAATTTGTCAATTTCCAAAGTTACATGCCATGTATGTAAGACTTGTCAGAATCTTCTAGCATGTAAGTCATTTCCTTTAGCTAAATCTCTTTAATTTGTGTATGTGTGTATATGTGTAAAGGGAGCAAATGCAGCATAGATAATGTGGGGAAGGCCAAGTCTGACATCTACTAGCTTTACTAAAAGAAACCGTCCTCACCAATAACTTCCACGGCACACAAATAACAGCCACATGGTCAGACATGGCTCCCAACTCTGCTGTAACCACTTATACCAATCATCAGGTCTGACATTCACTACAAAATTTGTGGGGTTTATTAGGGAAACAGGCTGGGTTTGAAGCAGGGGAAGGTAAAGGCTATTAGACAGTGAAAGTCTAGGTTTAGTCCAGCAATCCCAAATCAGACTAACAACAAGGCACAATTCCTCAATTACTTCAGACAGCTGCTCAGTCAACAAGTGAAAGTCCAAATTCAGTACAGGAACACAAATGCTGAAACCTCTGGTTTCCTCAATCATCCAGCAAATACTACCTCATAGTAGTCACATCTCTTCCTCCAATTGTCCAAAAAGTGGAAACTTTAACTCTGGCTCTATCTCCAGGTTTCCATCAAGCTACCCTTCACCACAGTCTCTCCACAGTCAGGTTAGTTTGCTCTGTCTCTTATGATGGCCTCACAGCTGTTGATGATGTTGAAGATACTGACAAATGGGTGAACAACGTGTCTCCAGTTGAGGCAGTTAGAGATCATGCTCCCAGACTGAGCTATGGAAATTGATATAAAAGCCATTTTCAAAAGTCCTATCACCACAGTTTGGCTTCTCTAGAAAACCTAACCTTTGGCATCATGGGAAATTCACTTAGCATCTCTAAAGCTAAGCAAGAAGTGATATTCTCCTTGCTTACTGAGCTCTTAGGGAAATAAATATTTCATTATTTATGTGCATCAAAACCAGCCAAGAACTTCACAAACACAGTAATTGCTACAATCTACACAAGTAATCTGTAAGCATCCTAAGTGAGGCCTTAGAAATTATCTAGTACTGCCCTGTGTGCCAGGCATTGCTCTAAGTACTTCACAGGTATAAAGACATTTCATCGTCTGAGCAAATCCCTTGGTGGAACAAGTGATTGTGTGGTCAGCTGGAAACCTAAAGGTTGGCAATTCAAGCTAATTTAACAGTGACATGGAAGAAAGGCCTGGTGATCTGCTTCTCTAGGGGCTGCTAGTTTTTGTTGCTGTTGAATCTGTGACCCATAGGGTTTCCCAAGTGACCTTTGGAAGTAGATCTGACAGTGCTGTGTCTCCTGTATCATAAATGCCAAACCCTTTAGAGAGCATAGTGTTTCTGTGACACACATGGGCTGCCATGAATTGGAGTCAACTGGACAGTGATGGATGGAATCTTCCCAGCAAGTTGGTAATGCAGCTGCTGTTGTTAGGTGTCCTTGAGTCAGCTCTGACTCATCGCACCCTCATGAACAGCAGAATGATGCACTGCCCAGTCCTGCACCAGCCTCCCAGCCTCTGTCTGCCGTGCTTCAGATCAGCGTTGCCACCACTGTGAAAATCCATCTCCCCCAGAGTCATCACCATTTCCCCTGATCCTCCACTTTTCCAAGTGCTTTTCCAAGCATGATGTCCTTCTCCAGGAGCTAGTTCCTTCTGATAGCTTATCTAAAGTGTGTCAGACTAAGTTTTGCCAACTTTGACTCTAAGGAACATTCTGGCTGTACTTCTTCTAAGACAGATTTGTTTTCCTGGCAGCCTTTGCGGTAGTCTTTGCCAGCACCACAATTTAAATGCATCAGCTCTTCTTTAGTCTTCCTTATTTAATGTCTTACTTTCATCATGCATATTGTTATTGTTATGTACTGGCTGAATCATACCCTACTCATAACTGACTGACCCTTCAGTGGATTTTTGGAGGCTGTAAATTGCAAGGGTGGAGACTGCCCTTCTTTCTCTTGTGGAGCAGCTGGTGGATTGGAACTGCTTGATTTTGGGTTGGAAGCTCAGTTCCTTAGCTCTAACCCACCAGGGCTTCCTATGTGCTTAGTAGGCAATAAAAAACACTATCAAGGTTTGGGTCAGTAACACCTCTGTCCTCAAACTGACATTCTTTCTCTTTACATTTCTTGCCTTTATCATTGAAAAGAAATAGTTTACAGGTGACTTACCCACTGTAGTACATTATTTAATTTCTTTTTTTTTTCATTAAATTTTTTGACTGATATCTCTCTGGGTGTTGATTGTGGATCCAAGTAACATGAAATCTTCAATAACGTCAATTTTTTCTCCACTTAGCATGGTGCTGTTTATTGATACAGTTGTTACGATTTTTCTGGAAAGGAGGAGCTCTGGGAACCTGGTGAATAGAGTTGTGCTGTCAGCTCAGAGGCGAACCATTTGCAGCCACCAGTTGCTCTGTGGGAGAATGATGAGCAATCTCTTCCCTTACGGTTTACAACCTCTGAAAAATTGATGAGGAGTCAGGTGAGTCGGGTTAAAGAACAATGAATTGTGAGCTTGTTTGCTTAGTTTTTTTCTTTTTAAATTAAGAGATTTAATAATGGGATGACAAACAAAGTTAGCATATTGAAATGGCTATCATGCACACAATATGTTCTCCACTCCCTCCAGGGCTTTTAATTGTGTTGGTTTTGGTTAAGAGTTTACTTTGGGTAGAATCCACTCTACGCACTGCTCTGGGAGGAGACAGGGTCAGGCCTTCGGGTGCGCCTATCAGCCCCTCTTCCTAGTTGGCACTCCAGGGCCAGAGGGCTGAGCTGCGCGGTGTCGCGGGTGGGCGCGCGCCCGAGGCACCACCGGCGGTGGGAGCCGAGGCACGAAGGTGGCCTGGGAGCGCGCGAAGGCCGCCCCGTGCGCGTGCCCGCCCCTGCGCCCACGCTCTCGGCCGCACTCCCGGGAAGTCTCGCGATGTCGCAGCCGGCTGCTCCCGCTGCGGGTGGCTGGGGCTGTTGCTGTGGTTGCGAGTTGCTGCTGCTGCGGCGGCGGCGGCAGCGTTAGTGCTGGTGGCGGTGTCGGCCCGAGGCCGAGCGGCTGTTGACATTGTGTTGTTGTTATTGCTGACGGGGATGGCTGAGGCGGCGCCTGGGATCCCGTCTCTTCTGTAGCCGGAGCCGGGAGACAGTCTCGAGCCAACTCAGCGGCCTCTGAGCCGGTGGCAGCAACTCCCCTCCACCCCTGCCGCCTCGCCAGCCGGGACCCCCGCCCCGGCTTCCCGGAGTCAGGCCCCTTCGGGGAGGGGGGCGTCGGAGGCTCAGGATGGCGGATTTCGACGAGATCTACGAAGAGGAGGAGGACGAGGAGCGGGCCCTGGAGGAGCAGCTGCTCAAGTACTCGCCGGACCCGGTGGTGGTCCGCGGCTCCGGTCACGTCACCGTGTAAGGCCCGGAGGAGGGTGAGGGCGAGGACGGGAGGTGCAGGGCTGGGGTGGGCCCCACTTGCACCTCGGGGAGCCCCCTGCTCCCTGGTGGTCCGCCTTTTCTGGGAGGCCTTCGGAGAGAGAAGGCGACCAGGAAGTGAGAACTTGCTTTATTTTCATTTGCGTCGCCTGCCAAGAGGGAACAGAGCCTGCCCTTCCTCGCCCCACACACCCCTTTTTTTTTTTAGCAGGCCCTGCAGGCCCGGACAATGTGACGGGTCCCGGGAACGAGGGCTTTCCTTTAGGGTCCGCTCTGCGGGCCAGCCTGCACCTTCGGGGTGGAAGGATAAGTATTTTTGAGGTGCCTCCCCCTTGTTTTCTCCGCCAGTCTGTGACTCTTCTTTCTCTGCCTTTGAGCCTAGTGACATTATGGGGCCCGAGGCCAGATCGGGGCCACAGAAACCCCAGTGACCATCAGGGATGAGGGTCTCCTTTTCTCCTTTTGGGGGTTCCCCCCAACCCGTCTTGGTCTTCCCAGCTTTCTCCCAGACTTAGTTTCTGCAGAAACGCCAAGTTCTTGTCATTGTTTATTTCAGTGTATATAGAACGACATAAGAAAAGTGCAGGAAGATGCTCTGTTTGCAACGATTTTATTTTATTTTATTTTTTCAAGTAAATGTGACAGACCCCTTCTGCTCAGATTACCGGGAGGATTCATAGTAATCTGAGCCCCTCCTCGGCACGAACTAGGATGGTGCTTCATGTGATAATATTTCCCCTAAATCTAGCAGGCAACGTAGGGGGGGGAAAAGCCCCATACTAAAACAATAGGGCATCTTCATGCCTTTCTGAAGGATCGTGACTAATAAAGGAATGCGAAGACTTGAACCAAATAATGAGCTGCCCGGAAGCAGGAAGTTTGGTAATGTTTGCTGAGAAGTCCAGAGTTTTGTACAAGTTGAAGTGTCTATACTCGTCCTATATTTTTCCCTTTCATGTCAGGCCCCTTGTTCAGATCTGAGATGAAACTTCTGTACTGCTTAGCGCTTGTCATACTTCACCTCTTTAGTACAATACCAGGACCAGCAAGCTTGAGAGGCTCTGGGGCGATGGCATTCGAGCTTGGCCCACAACATGAGTGGGATGTGTGCCATGAGCAACTTGTAGTGAAACAGACTTCTCATAGGCGATTGTCAGCAGAATCCTTGCATTTTTCCGTGCATGATGTGGCCAGACAGATTGTGGTTTGGGTATGCTTATGTAATGCTTTGATGTCGTTAGCACCTGTTAGTTCATGGTCAGGTGACTTAACAGGGTGATACAATGCAAAATTGCTGTTTCAGCATCATGAGAAGACAATGCAATTTATCAGTTACTGTTACTAAGGGTCTTCAACTCTCATCATGATGTGGATTTAGGACATACCACTAAATAATCTGGACAGTGAAGCTGAGCTTCTCACTAGCTTAGAAACCAACTTTTCAGATTTATAACCAGCCAGTTCATGATTCAGTTAATTTTTTAGGATGTTATTACATGGTTTTAGACCGCAGAGTATATGGGTGCTTACTAGAAAGGATTTTTTTGGATTTTCCATGTTGTCATCTTTATGTTCCTCTTGTCAAAGGAAAGGAGCCACATTGCACTGTTTAAAAGGGTGCAGCCATAGTGGTGGAATTTATGTTCTTCAAGGTAAAGAAAACCTGAGTAGTTTGGGATGTAAAAGGAAACTACCATGGGCGAAGTGCTTGGGACCAATAGGTGATCAGTAAATGGGATTATATTTAAGAGATTTGACAGAGCGGGAGAGAATTATTAGTGGTTCTGTCATAGCTGCCCATTAGAATCACTTGGGGAGCTTTTGAAACCTACACTCTGCTTGTGTCTAGCCCAAGCCCACTGAGGACCAAATATATGAAAGAGGGACCCATCCACTTCTTATATATTTATTTAAAATCCCACACGTGGTTCTAATGTGAATAAGAATCAACTCCATTCCCAGGTGTGGAAGGAGGAAAGACACCTTCATCAATAAGCAGTATGCTGTTCTATGTCCGCATTTGATGGAAATTGCTGTGGTGTGCAGTATGATCTTTGCTTAGGAGGTAACACTTAGAGACCCAAACACCATATGCCCAAATAACAGACATCTCCTTCATTAAACTTTCTTTTTTTAAGCTTCACGTAGTCTACCATTTCTTTTCCCCTGCTCATCATAACATTGCAAGACATGTTGCATTTTTTAAAGTTTGAATTTTTCTTTTGAGATTTTTGAAGACTTTTTGGTATCAAGACTGTAAAGTCCTTGAATACGGGAACTGTACTAGTTGATCTTTATTTCTCCATTCTTTAATATAGTGTCTAGAATGTTATTGATCTTGTAATATTTTCTAAATGAATGAAGCCTTGTATACATCACCGACTATTGCCAGAATGGCTAAAGGAATCACTAGTCTCTTTCTTTCTGCATCATCTAACAAAGAGAAACTATTTTAAAAATAAAACTCATATAAAATCACACTGACATGATGTGGTTCTTTTCTTAACAAAGTTTAATACTGGTAAGAAAATGATGAGATGAAGATAGATATTTCTCCCTAGGAATTTTTCTTACTATCTATCACTTGAAATGAAATTTGACCATTTGGTCATACAATCTTACGGAGAAATGTCAAAAGATCTTAAAAAAAAAATCTCAAAACAAAAGTTCAGTATTTAAGAATGCAGCATGTTTTATACTGTTATACTCAGTGGGGGAAAGGAAATGAGCTACATGAAGTTTAAACATACCTTTGTGGAGGTGGTGGTTGTTATAAGGTGCCATCAAGTCAACTGCCACTCTTGGCAACCCTACAAACATCTGCCCTATGCTTTGCCACCCTTGTGAGCTCTGATACGCTCTAGTCCATTGTCAGAGTCACTGTGTCAGTCGAGCTTGTTTAGGGTCTTCCTCTCTTTCTCTGACCCTCTCTCTTTCCTAGCATACCTTTTTCCAAAGACTCCCAGCATGTCATTTTCCAAGGTCTGGTCCCTCCTGACAACACACCCAGAATATGTGAAATGAAGGTTTTCCATTCTTGCCTCCAAGGATCATCCTAGTTGCACCTCCTCCAACATAGACTTGTTTGTTCTTTTGGCAGTCCCTGGGGATATTCTGTACCATGATTCAAGGGCATTGATGATTCTTCTGATATTCTTAATCATTATCCAGCTTTCATATGTATGAGAAGTAATTGAAAAGACCATGCATGGCTGGAATCAAGCATACTTTAATGAAATTGGAACTGACTCATAGCTGACCCTCCAGTGGGTTTTCAGAGGATGTAAATTGAAGGAGAAAATTGCCTGTCTTTTTGCCTCTGAGCCACTTGTGTATTTGAACCATGTGCCTTCTTCGGGTTGTCAGCACAACTCTACCACTTGTTGTTGTTGTTATGTGCCATCGAGTCGCTTGCGACTCATACCGACCTTGTGTACAACAGCTCTAAACTCTGCTCTGTCCTGTGCCAATCTTATTGTCTCCGATACACCCGATTGCCCCCGTCACGGAATCAATCCACCTCCCAGAGGGCCTTCCCCTCCTGTACCTGCCCTCCACCCTCCCAAGCATGATGTCTGTCTCCAGGGACCGGTCTTTCCTCACAACATGACCAAAGTATGTCAGACGAAGTCTCAGAATCCTTGCTTCCAAGGAGCAGCTTGGTTTAATCCTCTCCAAGATGAATCTGTTTGTTTTCTTAGCAGTCCAAACATTTTAATTAGACCAACTTCATTGGAGTAAGAGCTCTTGGAAAGATAGAGAAATATGGTAGTGAACTAAAATTTCCAAGTTTTTACCATATTTGAATTTGAAAATTCACCTGCTGTTTCATAGTTTACAACTTAGTGTTGGATTCCTGCCTACCAAGAAATAAACTTGAGTTTAAAATTGCATGCTAAGTGGAATATAGGGACTAAGTGGTGAAATGTAAATGATGTTTGTTTATGATAATGACTAATGCATCAGATACTTTTTATTACCCTAAGTAATACTAAAAAACTAACTAGCTTTTTATTTGAATTTCTCTCAAATTTTATTTTGTAATTATCATCTTAACAGGTTAAGGAGAATCAGAACATTAGACTACTACATCTTTTTGCATAAAACATATATACCCTGCATAAAAAACTAGTATGTATAGTTTGTGAAAACATGTAACGTAAATGTTATTTGTGTAAAAAACATGATGTTTTCAGAATTCCCTTGGAAGAGAATATTTTCTTTTTATCTGAGTGAAAATGAATAAATCAGGTGAGCTCTGGAGGTTTAGTGGCAAGAAGCTACACTGCAATCCAAGAGGTGCGTGGTTTGAATCTACCAGATGTTCTGCTGAAGAAGGAGGGACAATCTCCTCCTGTACCTGTCAGATCTGATTTAACGGCACACATACACCTCCCCCCAAGTATAAATCATACTGGTTTTTCATTCATACACATAACATTAATTAAAATAGATTAATTATAATATCTGATCAACAGAAGGCAACTTTTTATGTATAGTATGCATATCTTGCTTGTTTTCTAATCTACTATAAAACTAATTTAAGATTGAACTCTCAATAAATGAGCTTTAAATATAACATGTTGCAACAGATGCTCTCTACTATCTTTACTGGTATCTTCTGTGCAAGAGTTTTTGGTGATTTTACATAACTTCTTTCAGAATCCATTTATAAAATCAGATATTCTAACACACTTTCCATGTTTATGCAGCCTAGTGTAATTGTAGAACTAACTAAATCTGCCAGACTATTAGAATCACTAAACACACTTGATCAAAATAGGAATTTTAGGTTATTAGTTCAAATATATAAGTATTCTGGGCCAGGGTGGTGGTGCTTAAATAAAGGAGATTTTAGGCTGATAAATATTGAAACTTTCCTATGAAGTGTGGATAAGGTCTTTTGTCAGCTTATCCTCCAGAGTTTTGGCTTTGTGAGAGGTGCACTCAGAGAACTATGTCTGGGGACTCTCGTGATG